CTGGTTACTAATTTTCGAAACGGGTTTTGGGTTTCTTAGGTCTTTGGAAGAGGTGGAGAGGAAATGGATTTTCTCCAACAACAAGGCATTCAAGTAAAAGTTATTCCAGGTAAACTAGACATTTTTGTCCGTTCTCAATGGGACAAAACTGCACCCAAAATGCGTCCCAACAAAGGGTATATTAGACATTTCAATAATTGTACTTTTTTGTAGGTATAACTGCTGCCTCTGGAATCGCAGCAGAATTGGGTGTCCCATTGACACACAGAGGAGTAGCGAACAGTGTCCGGTTTTTAACTGGACACTCGAGAAAAGGAGGAGCAGATCCTCTTTTTGTAGCAGAAAATGCAGCTGACCCTGATTCGACTCTGGTTGTTTACATGGGTCTCTCTACTCTCCCTTCACTCATCTTAAAATTAATCCACCATGGTTTACCACCCGATACACCAGCAGCTGCAGTAGAACGTGGTACCACACCACAACAACGCATTGTAAGAGTAAAGTTTGTTAATTTGAGGTGAAAACTTGAATTTTGTTCCTAATTTGTTGTAAAATTATGTAGGTATTGGCAGAGCTAAAGGATCTTGGTGATAAAATTGCATCAGAACAGCTTGTGTCACCAACTCTGATCTTTATTGGAAGAGTTGTTGCTCTTTCACCTTTATGGCCACAATCACAAGCTTCTTCTTCTTCTTCTTCTTCTAAAAAGGATTCACATCTAATGGGCCATGTCTGAATCTTCTTCATTGCTTTGCTTCCTTCACTAAGAAAATGGTGGATGTGGGCTCATGAGAACAGTGACTGGTGGCTTACTGATTATTCAATCAAGTTCTTTAATGGGGAAAAAATTAATGTGAACAAAGGCTGTAGAGCGAGAAATGTAAAATTTTGAGTTAGAATTGTTTCTTTTGGGTTAATGGTGTACTTTGAGGCACCTGCCAGAAGTTCAGATAACCGAGAAAACCGATGTACTTTGAGCAATTTCCCATAAATGGTTATGAACTTTGAATAGGTAACTGAGAATAACGATTATCAAATATCAATGTTTGAAGAACCCTCCAAGAATTGCAGTGAATCTTCCAAGAGTCGAACCCAATTATCAAATGATATTTTCATTAACTTTATTTAACAAATACTATATTTATCTTTAAAATTCTCTTAAAAATATTACCAACATTCCGAAAACTGTTTACAAAAGAGTCTCCCAAAACTGTCAGCACTTTTTGTTTATTTGTGTTCCAATTTCTTAACTCATACTAAACATGATCACAAAAATTAGATCAAAACAATTTAATGAAGTTGTAAATAATCAAGTATATTTTTCAACCTGCAAGTGTAAGTTTGTTCGATAATTAGAGCCTCTGTATCGTGTCTTGCATAAAAATTTTGAAAGCCACCTGATCATTTTCGTTTTAACTGTTGCAAGTCTTTCAAACAACTTTTCTTTTGCAAGTCTTTCAAACAAGGGCCTGATTCTTCCACGGAAATTTTTTATTCTACCACTGAAAATATTATTTATTGACATTTATACCCATCCCTTGCACACACGAGCCTTTTTGCAAATGAGAATTATGAATTATCGTTGAAAGAATTATTGATGTTAAAATTGTTAAAAAACGTAGTCTAGACTAGGGATGAGAATTTGGCCCGAAAACCCGAACCGAACCAAAAACCGAACCGGACCGAACCGAATTAGACCCGAATAAGCAATTTGATTCGGTTTTCGGGTATCTATATAAGGCTTATTCGGTTTTCGGGTTATTCGGTTCGGGTTACCCGAATAAGGGCTTATTCGGTCCAAAAGGACCGAACCGAATATGAAAAGTTACATTTTTTTTTCTAACATGATTGCTTATTCGATCTTCTTTTCTATCGATCGTTACCCAACAAAACCCACGTAATACACCAAAAAAATCAACGCAATCGAATTCGATCATCCGTATTACACCAAATCGACGAGTCGACGACATTACTCTTTGATCGATTGAGGTTTTCTCATCCTTGCGACATTCCTCTTTGATCGACAGTTGCGGCTACTGCCCTTGCGACTTACGATAACCTGGACTCATTGATCGATCATCACCGGTTCAAAGTTCAAACTTCAAAGTCCATTCACGATAAGTTAAAAAAGTCGGCCCTTGCGTCTGGAAAAAATAATCGTCTAATCATCGTTGTTTTCTAGTTTCTACTATGATCAAACTCCATTCAAGTCATACAAAATACAATATTTATAATCACATTGTAAATGTTATTTGTAAATGTTATTCGGTTTATTCGGGTTATTTGGTTCCTTAATCATCTTCTACATGTTATTTGAGTTATTCGGGTTGGAACCGAACCGAACCGAATAATACCCGAACCGAACCGAACCCGTATTGCTTATTTGGTTCGGTTTTCGGTTCATACAATTACCCTTATTCGGTTTTCGGTTTATTCGGGTTCGGGTCGGTTCGGTTCGGTTCCGATTCGAATAACATCCCTAGTCTAGACTCGAGAGTAGAGTACAGGGGCGTGCTTGGTTGGTAGTACGAGCTTAAAAGGAACATATGGTTTAACTACAAAAAAAAAAAATGTGAGTATAGTCCCTCGTGCATGTACCAAATGACACGTTCAGTTTCTATTTTCAAAAATTAACTCGAACTGTCCCTCGTTTTATGTAACTTTGCACGCTTCATCCCTCCGGATAAAAAAACTATTTTACCCTTAATAATTTATTTTTTAATTTTCTTTTATTTGTTTATCAACTTTAAATTAAACAAAAAAGAAATATAAAACAAATTAACATCTCCACTTCATCCTCAGACTTCAACCCTTCCCTTGCCCCCCTAATTACTTTTGTTCCCCCAGCTCTCTCGTTAAACAAAATTGTGGACATGAAGATGAGACCGACGAGAAAGATGATAACGAGGAGGCCGTAGTGACGATTACCTTACCGACATGAAGCCACTGATCTCTCCTTTAAACTCAGCCTTAAACCCATCGATCTACACATCAAGCCCTCGTTGGAGTTGTCAACGTTGCTGGAAACCTGCAACTCTAAAGTCGACGTCGCCTTTGTTCCCAATCCCTCCGATATCAGTTATTTTGCGAAAGATGTGAGGGGCTATGTTTTGATTTCCGATAGAGGATTCAATTTCTCTTTTCTATGTTTGAAATAATCCTCCATAGTAAACCTAGATTCCAACTCTGGTTGAGGGGCTGTGTTTTTTCTCAATAGATTTGAGCAAAATGATTTTGGGTTTTGGATTTAACCAAACTAATTTTGCCCTAATTCAGAGTAGATTTAGGTTTTTAGTTTTTCCTAGATAGTTTGAAAGCGGGGGTGGAGTGTGGCGAGGGTAAATTTCCGTGTGTGTGGATTTTCAATGGAGATCGTTTTAGTGGTGGTGGTCGAAAACAAAGTTACCTAATCGTCAAGTGCAACTACTATGACACCACGACCGACTGTATTAGACTGCCAGATGATCTGAGACAAAGATTACCATCAGGGAGGAAATTGAAGCAAGCAGTGTATGCCGACATCTCCTCTGGATTTTATGTCGTAGGTGATTGCGAAAGAAAACAAAAATGTCGATAGAAGTAGTTGTAGAAATGTGTTAAAGGAGATCATTCTTGGATGATCTGGTCGTATCTGTTAAGCATCCTAGATGAATTTGTGAAAAATTGAGGTGGGTGAGCAGTTGAAGAGGGAGCAAAGAAATGTGGATAGTACGGGGTGGGTTTTTTTTTATTTTATTTTTATTTTATTTTGTTTTAATAAGAAATGTTAAAAATAAATAAAAAATAAAATTGAAAAGGGAATTTTAGTCATTTCATGTCTCGCAAGGGACTAAGCGTGTAAATTTAAGATAACAAGGAATGAAACGTGTAACTTTTAACCAAACGAGGGACTGTACGAGTTAATTTTTGAAATTAGGGACTGAACGTGTTATTTGGCACATGCACGAGGGACGATTCGTGTAATTTACTCAAAAAATGTTAAAACACCCTATCACAAATTCACTTCACGTAAGCTGGTAGAAGATGAAGATTGAGGTGAACCCAACCGTGAAAGTATTTTCATGGCCAAAGCCAAAACCAACACTTCCCTAATATCCCACCTCCATTCAAGACAAGGAAACATTCTTTTTATTCTATCTATAAAAGCCAACTTAACCTGTGCTAGTACAACTCTTTGACACCCATGCATGATGCATGGTTCATTCATTCTTTTCGCGTTGGTTCCTCTATATCTACTGAAAGGAATTTGGGAAAACAAAATCAAGAATTCAAACTTCATGCTTGGAAGGAGTGGAGTTAGTGATGAGCATCGGAACTAGCTTAGGAACCGAACTTGGTGGAAAATAGGAACCGAACCAAACTGCCTGTTCTACTGGTTCCGGTTTCTACCGGCTCTTGCCATATCTTCAATTTTGGAACCGGTCCGTGAGAAATAGAAAAATACGATTCTGGTTTTTGCCGGTTCTACCGGTTCCAAAAATCCACAAAAATATCGTCCCGTTCCCGACCCCGGCCCGATCGGTTCAATCCGGTTACCGGTTCCGACCTGTTCCTCGATCGAAATGCTCATCCCTAGGTGGAGTTGCGTAGGTTTTTATCATATTTAATAATATACCTATACTTACTTGCATACATCTAAATGATTAATGAGTAAGGGCTAGAGGTTTAAATGGACGAAACCTAACATCCTAGGCTGTTTGAAATTTAAGCCTATTAATTAAGAGGACCAGGTAGATACATACAACTAACTACCTACCCAAATTACGCCACGACATATACTCAAAGATGCAATATCTCATGTCTGCTACAACACACACGTACACAAAGAGTAAGGACTATCTTATCCTGATTCAGAAGAATGATACCAAACATCAAAAACTACTTCCTATCGTTCCTCATGTATTATATACAAATCCAAATATACAAAGAATACAAGAATACTTCAAACCATTATAATCAACATGAATGTTGGATGATGGATCCATTCCTGAGGCTAAGGCTTAGAAGAGGCCTAATAAGACGAAGAATCCAAGGAGAATAAGCCAAAGAATGTGAACCAACAGAAGTGCCTGACCTGATACCGGCCCGCTGCCTCCATTTTCAAACTCACAAAACCCTAACTTGGCCACCCGTGTACCGGCACAGACCGCCTCAGCACATCCGCACCAATAGGTGACATTATTTACGCCACACACGGGAGCCGTTCTGAAGCACTTCACTGGGCATGACCCGGGAGTAATTGGGTCGGCGCAGAGAGAGGCTGATACGTCATCGGATGGTAGCCGAAGGAAATCTCGATTGGCCGTGCTAGGGAGGGCCAAAGCGATTACTACCACGAAAATGATGAAAAAAGGGAGGAAGAGAGATTCGTGCGACATGGTGACGGAGGCGAGCTAATCTTGCTCGCCTTGCTGCTCGAGATATTCTGATCGCAATTGAAACCCTAAAGCAGATAAAAGGAAGTTGGGGTTTCGGAAGAGCCTGGATTAATGGATGAAGACGATAACGGACAGCCGGAGGAGGAAATGATCGGTTACGCGCATTTTGCAGGTATTTGTTAACTTATAACAAAATTGCAAGAATGGTCCTTGTGGTATGTCAAAACTAACAACTTTGGTCAAATGAGTTTGGTTCGCAAGGATGGTCCAATAGTTTCGATTTGTTGCGAGTTTAGTCCAAAATTTTTAAAACTTTTTATAATAACGGATTTGCCCTTGGTATTTTCCATTTTTCAATTTTTTTATTACAGTAATAATATATATATATATATATATATATATATATATATATATATATATATATATATCATACAATCTCCCTTTCCTCGACCTCATTTTCATCTCCAACTTGTCTATCTCCTTCGTTTCTCACTTCTCCGGCGAAGAGATCCACCACAGTAGATTATGGCAGCTTCTCCGCCTCCCCCAGTCGTGACCCACGACTATCCAACATCCCAAATCCAAATCCACAATGGGTGTTTTTCGTTCTTGATTTTGGATCTGAAATAAAATCCAAATCCAAAAGTTGAAGTTGAAGGGTAGATCTGAAACAAAATCTACACACAAAACCTTACCTGAAACGAAAACCCACCATCGATTTGAAGAGAAATGAAAACCCACCATTGATTTTGGATCTTAAATAAATCACTACACTTGTTCACTCCTGTTTTTCTTTCCTGCCGGCGAGAATGAAGAGAAAGGAAGCTTGTGGTCGGAGGGAGTGGCAATATTTGGTGGCCGGAACTCACAACAACAGCGGTTGCAGCAAGCTGTTTGGGTGGTAGAGCGACCGGAGGAGCAGGGTTTCCTCCTTAGTGGTGTGGTATGAATGGAGAGATGTAACGAGGGTGGAGAGGTCATGTATGGTGGTGAGAGGTGGCGTTGAGCGAATGGGATGGCCGGAACAAGGTTGGCAGTCGACGAGCTCACATCCGTCTCCTTCTTTTGTCATCGTTGCAGATTCAAAAGGGGGGGGGGGGGTGGATGGCGAAATTCGGGAAAGGCAGTGATTAACGGTGGCAGTCAGCGACTACCTTCCCCCGTCGCCGACTGTGGTGGCTCGGACTGGATATGGTGGAACACCGGTAAGTTAGTGGTGATGTTTGCATACAACTAAAGTGGAGTTTATGGTGGTCGTGGTGGTGCTATGAGAGGCGAAGAGGTGGTGGATGTTCACGGTGGTCACCACAACAACACCACCAGTGTCAAAACCACTGGTGCTCCATTCTTTGTTTGTGAAACAAGGATGGAAGGAAGAAAGAAGATGAATCAAGAGAGAGAGAGAGAGAGAGAGAGAGAGAGAGAGATTATTTTTGTTTTATTTTTAATTGTTTTTTTAATTATTGTAATAAAAGAAATATAAAAAATAAAATAAGAAGGGCAAATCCATTATTATAAAAAAGTTCATAGGAAATTGGACTAAACTTACAACAAAACGAAACTATTGGATCATCCTTGCAAACCAAACCAAAGTTGCTAGTTTTAACATACACATGAACCATTCTTGCAATTTTGTCTTTCGTTTCATGGCAGATTTTTCTTTATTTTCTTAAAATAACTCTACTTTATGTTGCAATATTAAAGTTGTTAAATTTTAACATGGACACTTTTATGTTATCACTAATACTTATTACTAATTTCTATATTATAATATAAATTAAAAAAAAGAAGTTTAGTGGCATAGACTTGACATATTTAAAACGCATATTTATTCTAAAACGTCAACATAGTTAAAATGTATACATTGTATTAACTAATAAATTGATATTATTTTTTTCTTAAAATAACACATTATATTTTCCATCTAAACTAATATATTTATATTTATATTTTATCGAATATATATTAATTATAGATAACTAATATAGGTTAATATTTAAGATGTATATTAAAAAAAGGTAATTGTTGATGTGTAAGTGATGACCACCCTTGAAAGACAAGTAACATTGCATTGACGTATAAATAATTACAATAGTTGAAGTGACGTGTTTGAAAGATAAATGACATTTGCATTGATAGTAATGGACTTACTCTTGGTAGTTTTATTATTTGTAGCTAAATTGTCATATACATTAGATTTGGTAAAAATAAAATATAACACACATTGTTTTATTAATGGATAACATGAAAGTAAAAAAATGTGACACTACTATTGTAACAGGTGTTGCGTTGATGGGAGTTACCTCCCATTATGTTTTTTTTATGAAGATTGGTTAAACATGTTCTAATATCATCTTGCTAAAGGTGTGAAGGAGTATTTGGAGGGTGTTTCTTTGTGATGATGTGGTGTATTTGGTTGTTCAGGGATAAAATTCTCTACAGTAAAACCCAACTGAAGAAAGCTCTTTTGTTTGATGATAATGTCTCGAAGGCATTTTATTGGTCTAATAATAGGAATAGGCATGTTGATATTGACCAGGTGGGTTGACTTCAAAATCCTAGTTTGTTTTCCTTTTTGTTTCCCCCTTATTATACCTTTTTCCAATGGTTTCTTGCTAGTTTTTTCTTTTTATATATTTCCCTCTTTGCCGTTCAATTACTTTTTTATAAGGTGTCGATCAATGACACTACACGATATAAAATGAAATTGAGATGATATTGAAATTTGAATTCGTTTTTAAAATTGGAAATCGAATTGATAAGATTTAGCATTGTTTGTCATGTTTGTTGTGTTATGTATAATTAAGTATGGATTAAATAAACTGATAGTTATTTTATGTTATCTTTATCGTGTTATGTCATGTTTTAGTTGATTCGTTTTCTTGTTAATGAGAAAAACACATCACGTCGTGTCGTTTTCGTGTTACATAAAACTTTATCGTTTTATTTTATGTCAAACAAAAACAACACGATATGATTGTTGCTTTGAAAGTTTGACACCCTTAAATATTATCTTAATTTACTAACGTTTAAGAGTTAGGCCCGATGGGTCTATTACTTAGTTTTATGGTTGCAGCCCATTAGAAATATTTAAATGGACCAAAAGGAGTACGATACAATATGTTTATGATGTGGTATTATATGATTTTATACTTTTATTTATAGGCACTGGGGAGAGTTCATTTCTTTTGGGTGGCAGGAAAACGGGATGAACCTCCACGTTTGAGCTAATTTTGTTGACATTATTCGAAAATTTTACGCTTTCAATTGTAATGGAATTATTTATTGGGGTTGTTTTTGCCTTAAGTTTATCACTTTGATTTACTTTTCCATGTTTGCTTTGTCATAGGTCATCTATGCAACACAATCTCTCTACTCCTTATAGAAGCATGAATGTTGACATCTATCTTCCTCTATCATTTCTAATGAGATTCTTGGAGTCTGTTGTTGTTGACTTGCTAGTAATGTTGCGCTTTCAATCATGGATATCATTGGGTATGATATTTGGATTTCTTGGCTTGGCATGGTTTTGATTATTCGATAAGTCTTTGTTTGTTTTTAGTGTGTTTCCATACATCTTGATTGCTTTTATTAAGTGTACGATAGTTATTTTATACTTGTAGTTTCGTCTAGAAAAAACTCATATTCTGCTCTCTTATTGGTAAATAGTGGATTCGAGGCAGCTTAAGGTTCCATGGTTTTTACTCTCGCCTTGAAAGAGGTTTTCTGTTGGGAAAATTAGTGTTTGTGGTGGAGATCTGGATACCAGCTTGGATCGTGATACTACTTTCCGAATTAATATTTCTACCCTATGCCTGGGTTACAAGAAATTCTACGTAAGATAATCCAAGCGGACACCTACGTTTCTAGGCACAGAAAACGTAAGCTATTATGCTAAAAGGTTCTGTAAATGTGTGATATAAAACGAGAGCTAAAGAACATCCGTCTTCTGGAAAGGAAGAGTTGTTTATATACTAAACACGATTAGGGTTTCATTAGGGTTGGACCATCATTACTTGCTTTGAAAGCAAGTAATATTAATCCGGATTAGGGTTACCAAAAACTAACGAGTTTCGTTAGTTTTACCATAATCACCCTTAAGAAATTGAATTTTCCGTTAGTTTTACCATAATCACCCCAGCCAGGGGCTCTGCCCCTTAGACCCCGCTAGGGGCGCTGCCCCTAAACCCCGCCAAAGGGGCGCTGCCCCTTTGGAAACCCCAGACCCCGGGGGCTCTGTCCCCCGGACCCCCCGATTAGTCGTCGAACCGGCTTCTGACTCGATCTTATACATGCGTGCACTCCGCACAACTCCATACATGTATTAGAGTACAAATCATGAAGCCTCTTAGCTCACATGTTAGTTCCAGTTACTTAAAATGACATGGTGATACTAAAATCACCAACATTTTCTACACAAAAGCATGGTGTCTTCTTTGTGTCATTGCTAATCATTTTTTATTTTAGCTTAATTGTATTGCAATTACAATACTTTATTTGTTTACATCCTTACATCTTCAATAGCTCATTCGAGTCAGGAAAGTTGCACCAAACAATGATAAACTATATGACCATTTCTCTATACATTAGTGTATAATTTCTATCTACATTTTACTAATTTAGTATACATCTTTATAAATACTAAACAATACAATGAATTATCCACGGACCCGTGCCTCCCCAGCTTCAAGTATTATTAAAACCGATGTTATCTTTAAATCATGTTGTATACTTTTCAGTAAGAAGAAGAAGAATCATTCCGCATACACTCCGGGATAGGAAACTTTGTAACATCACGTCCCACTTTGCTAGTTCTAAGTTCTGGTTGACCCATAGAATCGCGATGCAAATCCAATATGATTTTGTTAAATTCATTTTCATTTAGAGAAGTTTTAAGAAAATGTGTTAGCATTTGTCGTTTGTTGGGCGTAATAGTCTTTTTGTGCCCTAAATATGCCCTATGCCCTTGGATCGCATGACCCATGTTCCCACCATGTGAA